TTCTTGCTTTCAAAACAATTAGGAAATGAGAAATGTGGCTGGTTATGTAGCATTCATAGAGTCACACAATCTATGTTTCCTCCTCTCCACTTGTGATTTTAAGGTTTTCAAGGATCTTCATTTTCTAGTTCCTTCCCTAGTAGCCCATCTCCATAATCTACTGTGAGCCCTGCTTTTCCACTCTTTTTAACGAAGAAAAGGCAAACAATTGCTCCTGAATAGATCTCAAAGATGAATTATAAACCTCATGCAAATTCATGTTTCTTCAATATAGCATTACAAATTTCAATTTCAGGGTATGACTAGAAGATTTTCATCATGGGATTGGAAACAAAGATACTAAGCTCATAAATTTCAGATAAACACTTCACAGCTTAGCTAAGGATACTAATTTAGTCCAGTCTATAAACCCAACCTAAAAAATAAAACTTTCATGAAACTACATAAATAGTTGTGATATTGTCAGAACTGCAAAAATTGTTCCATGTAATATCTTAACCAATACATATAATAAACTTCTGGAACACTAATTCTTCAAGATGAACCTTAAACTCGGCTGTAATATTTGGCTAAGGATAGACAAAGTTTTCAAACCTCTATAATGCAAAAACAACCCCATCCCTTACCTTTTCTTCCCCTCCCTTTTTCTATATATTTTTAAATGACAGTGTGAGTGTAACCAGGAAAATTTTTAGGCCAAAGATAAGCTTAAAGTATAATCAGGTTTGTAAATGGGGCCACAAACATGGCCTCTTGATAATGTGAAGAATAATATGTTTTTGATTTGACCATACAATGTAAGAAAAAAATAATGGGAGACGAACTTGATAGTCTTAACTTCCCAAATCCCATATGGTATGTTTACCATTTACCACATGTATACTGTTTGATATGCGTACAAAGTCTATGGATTTAAGTCTCTTTCTCAGACCAGCCACTTGAACATATTGTATCCCTCAGTTTCATGAGATCCAAATGAGGTGAGGAACATGAACCATTTACTGTACAGACACAGCTGTCTTCATGGAAAACAGTATTTGCATTACCAGAATCTAAGATACCTGTTAATAAGTAGTAAAAAAGAGCTGAACTATATCCTTTTCTTAAACTGTTTAGTGCTTTGGATGCCGTGTTATGTCATTTCATATTCTGAAATATACAAGGAAAGGCTAATAGCTAACATTATCATTTCCACAAATGATACAATATAAAATATCTCAAAAACGGACAAAAAAATGCCTCACCATTTCAGACTGTACCTATAATTTTTTGTTCAAATTCTGCTGTAATTCAAAAAAATAAGAGAAGACCTTTAAGCACTCATTTCTCGTGTACTTATACACATGCAATATAAAGACTTTACTAAATATATAGGCTCCTATCCATTAACAGTCAGAAATAGAAAAGCTGCTCTGGCAAAAAGCGTAAAGAAACAAAGAAAAGGGAAAACCATTATGATAATTAGAATTGTGTGAAACTTGGCTGTTATGGGATGTACAGTTGATCCAAACCTTTTCCTTGGCTTTGGTTCACATCCCAAATGTTGCTTTGACTTCTGGGCTTAAAGGAAGCCAAAAACTCCAAGTGAAATTTTGCCAAATCCAACATATTTTTGCAGGTTTAGGGTCAAAACCATGCAAACCCACAGAGTTCCTCCTATCATCATAAATCAGACTGAGTTTGCCAAAATGTTCTTTTCTGTTCTATGTAAGCTTTTTCACTGCACTCGTCCCTCTAACACTTAAGCTTTTTGCCATCAGTACTGCATTTAATAACAGGATTACATAGCTTCAGTCTTACTGGATTTCTTACTCTGTGAAATGATTTTTCTTCTTCATGTTTCCTCCCTTTCTTTTTTTTTTTTTTTTTTTTCTTTATAATTATTATTTTTTAAGTACTCTTACAGCTTTTCTTTTTTCTACTATATAGTTTCATTTGCATTTGTCAGGAGACACTGTCAGAGCAATACTTCTTGGTCTCAGAGAAGATGACATTCAATTGCACCCCGTTTCTCATTTTTCTTACAAATTTCATTTCCTTGTCTCAGAATCACCTATAGAAAATTTTGGAGACGTTCTACTTTTGTCCCAGGTTTCAATTTCCTTTTGTCACTGAGTGACATCTTCAACCAGAAGGTTTTATCAAAACCCTGAGCCCGAAACACTGTGATCATTGGCCTCAATGCAAAATAAGAATTCAATAGAGAGAAAAATCTACACTACCAAATCTGCTTTTCAGTATTCTGAAACAGTTCTAATCACCTACCAGCTGACAGCTTCAAACTGAATTTCACATCCACTTAGTTGACCCGAGAGTCAACAAATGGAAGAATAAATAATACCGTGCATTTTCTGTCCCAACAGAATTTAAAAAAATTACAAGAACTTAGAAGTAAAGAATGGAAAAGCAGTCCTAAATTACAGCTTGAATAAAGAAACTCTGAGCATACTCCAAAGGGCACTAGAGCAGATAAAAATTATGTGGTACATCTAATTCAGTCAAGACCATTTTTTCTCCAAGCACTTGATTACATATTTGTTTGTTTTGTATTTTTCTTGCTACTATTGTTACTGTTTAAGTGTGACTAAAGTGGAAGCCACATCAAATGAAATGCATTTTTGTGTATTTAAGAGCTGAGCACAATCCACTTGCTAGGGAGCAATTTGTCAAATCAAAACAGAGACTGGTTGCAAACATTAACATGAAAACAACCATCCTGCTTCATCCAATCTAACGTTCTTTCTCTAATAGTAGATATTTAAGGAAAACAGTCAAGCATCCAGTGGTACTCCTTCAAAACATGCTATTGACTCCATCAATTTACAGGATCAGTGAGTTCCTCAATCTAAGGTGGCATATTTGTATTTTGCAATTCATTGAGTTTTCAGGCAAACTTTCTTACCCATTTAAAAACTTGGTATCAACTGGATTACCTGGCAACTCAACAGACAAAGCAGCAGAAAATGAAGATACATTGTTTTGGCCTGAGCCCACCTCCTACAGTTTTCAGCAGGTGCCCTATTCCTCACTTTGAGCTAGACAACAGACCGTCTACTCACTTTCTTTTCACCTTCTTCACAGCACTCATGAATCCATCAATCTCTTTATCCTGTAAAGAGTCCCTAGTCTATTTTAATACTGCTCATATAAAGGATATTCCATACCTCTGATTGTGCGTTTCTGTACCTTTCTATTCTACATCATTTTTTCTATTAGGTGAAACACTGCACATAATCTAGTGTCATTATTTCAGTCATACTACTATTCCTTTCTTCATAACTCTCAAGATTCTATGTCGTTTTTTATTCTTATTCCAAATTTTTCACAAAACTGTGCATTATAGCAACAAGCCATTTTCTTCAACTTTATCTGCCAGCTCAGAGTCCACCACTGTGTAAACAATGCTAGGATTTACTGTCTTTTATGTTTGAAACCTTCTATTAAACAGAGCAATTTCATATCACTTTAATCACAAGAACAACTCAGTATCAAATTCTCCTTCTTCACAGCCAGACTGCATCTTTGCTGCAGTATATTCTCAGAATTATTTTTTATCAGAAATTATTTATCAGAAATTATATCAGGAATCTCAGATATTTTTTATCAGAAAGTTTGTCCTGCAATTATTCATTCCCTTCTAGATCTGTTATGGACACTGATTCTTACGGTATTTTTGAAAGATGCCATGACTTATGAACTCATGAAGAATGACTTCATTTCAGAAAAGCTTTGTTGCTAACATACTGTATTTTGCCTACTAATTTTATTGTTCTTATAACAATTTCTCTTCATCTGTCTAATCATCATAGGTACAAGTAATTTTCCAAAACTTACCTACAACCTTTTTGAAAACAGCTATCACAGTAGACAGTGCCCAGTCCTCTGATAAAAAGGAAACTGTAAGGAAATTATATACAAGATTCACAAACTCACAAATTTTGAAGAACTTTAGAATGACCACAGACTTGCTATGTTTGAACAAGAGATTGAACTTGATGACCTTTTGAGGTCCCTTTCAACATGAACTGTCTCTGATTCATTGATCTTATAATGATGGTATTTTTAGTGTCAGTAATTGTGTAATCTCCATTACTGTCACCTCGCCATATAAAAGATACATCTTCCAATAGTTTGCCTTTTAAAAAACGATTCTACAAGCAGAAACTCCCTGAGCTGCTTTTCTATGAATACCAGAGAAATTTCTTCCACTTTGACCTCACAACCTTATTTTCTGAAAGCAGGCTTTATATGTCTTGATTATCTTTGGCTCTATAGGTTCTCTGGCAGGCTTCCGGCTTCTGACACATTGGAAATTACTAGTTTGAATGCGTTTCATGACTTACTTACTTCTTATTGTGTTTCAAGCATTTCACAGTCTGCCTATTTGTGCTTTTCAAATCTCACTTCCAGGTTTTATGATTCTATTTTCCTCAACTGGAGAAACTTCAGTTTTTTGAAGCATGCTTTTCTTTTTTTTTTTTTTCTTTTGACAGCTTCCTTTATCCTGCTGTTTAACTACACTGCTTTCCATTTGGTCTTCCTAAAGCAGTTTTTGATAGGTGCTACCCATTTCCTCTGTGCAATAAAATTTTCCTTAAATAGCCTTCACGATGCCTATAAAGCTCACATTCTCTGTTGTGATCTTGAAGCTTTTATTTTGTCTTCGAGTTCAAATTAGAAGTACTTCGGTGATACATGGAATTTCTGGTAGGTGCTGTCTAGCTATAGTACTGTGTGGAGATAGAGATAAAAATATACATAGACTCCAGAAAGTTCTTTTTGTTTTTAAGCACTTCTTAGAGAATGAAGGATCCCTACTTTTTTGTTTGTTTTAAGGTTTTTCTGCATGAAATAACTTGGTCAAACCAACAGTATGGTCAACTATTTGCATTACATGCTGTAACTCTGCCACAACTATGTTTTAGGTTCCCTGTCTCCATCCCTGTCCCCTAGATGGAAGTAGGCCCTAACCTGTCAGGAACTCATCACCTTGGGTGTACTTGGCAGCCCATCATCCCCAGTCCTGCCTCCATCTCCCGTTTCTCTTGGCTGGGATCCATTGTGGCCCCTGAACCTGGTTCATCACCAGCCATGTCCAGAACAGTGGATGGACCATGCCACCAGCACCCAGCTCCACTGACTTGTTGAGATCCTCTGAGCCTATGCCTCCTCATGAGGGCAGAGCTAATGCTCGAGGGCCCTGTTCTCCTCTTGATCCCTGAAGTAACAGGTGTACCAGATCACCCTGATGACCTTGGGATCTGGCCTTGCCACAGCTGACCCTCTGCTCAGCTGCGGACTCCTCAGGGAGCCTTCTCAGTTGGGAACAGGATCAACGGGGGAATTTTCAAGGGCAGCCTCAAACAGCAACAGTTCTCCTTAGAGTTGTGTCTCTCTTATGATGCTGAGCTGGCTCCAAGGCCACACGCCACCACCCTGTTCCCCATAACAACTCACTGACATCCTGTACAAATAACTCATTTCACAGTCAGTGCCTGCTGACCCCAGACCTCCATGACATGGAAGAACACAGCTGGTTTTGGAGGGCTTCTATCATGGCCCTGAGGGCACAGTCCTTGACAGCACCCAATTGGTATCATTGCCTCAGGCTCTGGGTCCCCATCTCTAGCCAGCCCCATGCTAACAGTCCCATGGTGCCAGGCCAAGCAACATGAGGAGATGTTTCTTTTCCAGGTAGACTAGTCTGCTCATGTTTTACACTATAAATCTATAGTCTATATATATATCTATAGTCTATAAATATTCCTAGCAAAGCCTTCTTAGGTAGGAAGCTAATTGGTGAGGTTTCAGATGGTATGATTATTTTATATGGGGGGGGCAGGAATAGCATTTAAAATACAAGTTACCCTGTTAATTATTTTAGCATTTATCAGCTTTGTTAAAAAAAAAAAAAAAAAGTGAGTGAACAAAGTCATCATGCATACAGGATCAATGCCTGTGTTGAAAACATGAGAACCAGATAGCAGTCATCTAGCAGTCTTTTCTAATATCTGTACGAACAGAAGTAATGATATCTGCTAGGACTTGGCAGCCAAATGCTCTCATAAAAGAACACCCAGACAGAAAAGCCAATCTTGACAAACTCTGCACTTGATTGTGGAAGGACTTTCTCACAAATTACAATTCCCATCAACAGATCAGATGTAAATGATGAATGACAATGGACAATTTCCTTTTGTGCTTGAGATCTGCTTTCGTAATGACCTTTCAAGTTTATTTTTGTCTGCACAAGGTTGTGGGTTTTTTAATTATTTTTCTCTTCATGTAAGAAATCTTTGTCTGACAAAACGGTGGCAAAATTCCCATTAACTTTACTACAGCCAGGAATTCATCCCATATGCAGGAAAACATGAAATTCTTTATTCAAAATGAAGGGACTGTAGCATTCATGTGACACACTGTTCACACTGTTATAACAACCCTTTTAAGTTTGTTTTTTTTTTTTTCAAGGGGGGCAAGGGGGTGGAATCACATACACCTGGCTTTTATCTATGCCATAGCTTCTAGATAGATATAGTTGTTCCTCCATATGATAAAGTAGGTGTAAAATGCTTCTTTCAATACGCCAATATGCAAGTCTGAAAAGAAATGACTGATATAAAATAACAGCTTAAAAAAAATCTCACCCCACTAAAGAAAAAATGCATTTGTAAAAGTATTTGTAATTAATGACATTAAAATATCCATGGAAATATAAAGAACTGTTCAAAATATGGTTTTTTAGGAGACTGCAAGTTGGGATCTTTAAGAATTTGGCTGGGTTGCTCATTCCCACATGGTCATGGTAAATTCTCCATTCTTTTTGAAATACAAGTTCTGTTGTCTGTACCTAATTCTGGTGTTTGTTTTTTCTGTTTGTTTGCTTTTTTAAGTGATTCAAAGTCAACATTTCTACAGTTCATCTACATCATAGCAATATTTTCAATTAAGCTTTTTCCTATCAACAATTATGATAGGTGTCACAGAACAACTCAATTTCTGTTGATACATTTATTTAGTGAAAACATTGGGATACCTACAATATCTTTAACCTGTGAGGTTTACTACAAGATATTCCTAGGAAAGGAGTCTTTTTCAGATGCAGAAAATTGAACAGACTCAATACTCTATCCCACCTCCACTTAAATAAAGAAAAAAAAGAAAAAAAAGGGGAGAGAGAGAGAAATGGAAAAATACAAAAATATAAAAAGTAGAGGATCAAAGAAACGCTTGTTAGGGCAGTAAGGACACTAACTGTAACTTGAAAGAACAGATAAATATCAGTCTTCTATAAAACTTAATGTACTGCACTCCAGTCTTGTTTATTGTTCAATTAGCTGCTTATCTTGATAATCCAGGTTAAAAAAAAAAAAAAAAAACGGAATCCATTTTAAAAGAAAACTGAGACACAAATGGCAGTGCTCTTCTTTTTCTTCATATCTAGCCATTATAGTCCATCCACAGAGAAGGGGATCAGCAAAACTCCCTTGTTCCTCCAAATTCATTAATACAGTATGCTTCATCTTTCACAGGCTAAAGACTGATCCTCTGGTGAGAGATACTACTAAGCTCTCACTGGACCAAAAACTACATTACATTCATTTGCACGAAATACCTCAATCAGTAACAATTCATTAGTAAACACACAGCATTAAGGACATAAAAAGTTTGCATAAAACTTTTTATTCCTTCTTACGTTTTCTTTAAACATAATTGCAAAACTTGTGTAAAATACTGTAAGATCTATTAATGGAGCAAGTAATGTAGAAGGTATTTTCTTAAGGTAGTTCCTTAACTGAAGAATTTCACCTTTGCCTTAAGTCACAATTTAGTACTCTCCGGCAGTCTGTGAGCACTATTTTACCTCACATGCATTGCAAAACAGCTAGGAACCTGAAGTACTAACAATTTCTCACATAATTCCACGGTAAAGTAAGTATATGTATATGGTTTTGCTCTAAGTGACCACAAATTTCAGTAGATGGCCAATTGAATTTAATCTGCTGTTGTCATTGGCTAACTTAAAGGTAAAATATTTAATTTAAAAAATCAAAATCTTTAATTCTAAGATCTGATGTTCCAGCACTTGATCTGAAAATCAAGTCCTTTTTTCCCAGGCTTATGTATTTCAGCATAATTAATTTTGCCAGGTAGATTCTATCTTTAAAAAAAAAAAAAGAACTGAAAAGAGTAAAAGTGAGATTTGATTTTGATCCCAAAAATGGTGGGTTGGGGTATGGAAATGGGGTATGGAATCTGCTTGATTTTCTGCATGTGGAAAAGACTCCTTCCCTAGTTGTTTATTTCATGAAAGATTCCCAAAGCAAATATGCTTTTACAGTAAACGCTCCAAAAAAAGCCTTTTCTATGTTAGAACAGTTCTAGACAAGATTATGTACAGAAGCATCTTCAGCTTCATCCACTTTCTAATCTGTAACAATAAGTAGTCTGTAAGTAATAGCATAAAAGGCTATTACAGACCACTTTTAATGAGAGATAATTGGTATAAATCTGGCTTATTAGCAATCAGTGAAAATAATTCTATTCAGGCTTACCTCAAGCAGAAGTATGAAACTAGCTGGAACACACTTATTTTGCACCCAGGATTTTAGACTTTTAATAAAAAATACTATAACCTATGGATAAGCTACAAATACAACAAAATATCTGGATATATTTTTCTTTCATTTGGGAAAAATGAAAATTAATCAGTATAGGTAATATTTTAAGCAATGCTTAAATTGGAAAATCTACACTCATACAAATTTTCATTATGCTGTTTTTATACTACAGTGTTAAACCCTCCTATATTAATCTTACATTGAAGACAGCTATACAAATAGGGTCAGACATTTTATTGCAATTTCACTTTGCAGAATTTCAATCTAAATCATTGTTTTTGTCATTGATTATAATTTATGTAATGTAGGGTGTTTAAATACATAAGTTAGTAAAATATTAGACAAGCTATAAGTCAATGTTAAAGTTAAAAATGAACTATACATGGATTGCTATATTGGACAGTCATGTGCTGAAATACTAACATCTATTATAATGAGGTTATTGATGTAGAGTTGACATATGACTTGATTTGCAGATGCCCTACTGACTAACCTTTTGCAACTATATCTCAGTGTAAACTTGTGGTAATTATTGCTGGGTAGGGAGAGTTGGTTTAACTGAACTGTTTCTTTTGATGCATGTTGAATGTGATTGCCCCCTGGAGACCACAGGAGTCCCACATGTGTGAGTTATTACATAAACATTGAAGAGGTGGGGGGAGGTTGTATCACATTAAATTTTTCCTGTTTCCTATTGTTGCAATTTTGTTTTTTTCCAACACAGTTTCTTTTCTTCCAGTGCTTCTTCACACACTCCCTCTCCAAATAACAAGCAATGTATTAAAGTGCATAGCAGCATGTTATTTAATCTAAACATTGAATACATATCCATAATTGTGTTTCACAAGGTTCTAGATATATTATAACAATCAAATCTAACTTTGTTTGCAAATCAAGATGTCCAGGTTCTATTCTGGGTGCTCAAGTCATTGTATAAATGTTACTTAAACAACGCTGGAAAATATTTCTGACTTAACTGTAAAAACTGAAAAAGATTTAAAAAAAATATCAGCATTCAGACTTTGGATATGGGACGCATTGATGCCCCTGTAACAGCGCAAAGGTTGCATTAGTAAACATAAATAATGTTCTGAAATACTGTGTACTTGGTTAAAAACCCACAAATAGTAAATGGGGGAAGTTTTTAAAAAAATGGAATTAATGCTATTTTGTTAATAAATGTACAATGCAATACTGTAGACAAATGTGGGGACATGACCATTACATATCGAAGTGGCACTGATAATGTTTTACCTACTGAACATTTTTATATTATAGATGGTTAAAAGAACATAGCACAGAATACTTCTGTCAGCCTACCAATTACAGCAAAGAAGAAAAGACTTAAGAGACTGTGACTCTAGTAGAAACTGATCTTCACAGGAGATTTTCAGAGATTGTCTACTGGGAGATTTAATAACAAGAGTAGTTTTGGCTTCTGAGGATTACACTGCACAATGAAAACAAATGCC